CCCCCTGGCACGGAAGGCATTGGCCTGGCAATTTGCACTCCATTTGTAATAGCGACTCCCAGAGCCACCTGTCGCCGAGCGAGGCTGTTTGGCGGGCAGCGATCAAACAGCACGGGCCTCTGTTTGAAGTTTCCCTCCAAGGTGCGCTGGAAGCAATGTTTCAGCAGAATAAACAGCCCATCGAGCAGTTTTTGCTCGTCCCCGCGGCTTTTAATCACCTCCACTGTACGACCGTCACAGCTGGAAGCCAACGCCAGTGACACGGAGGATTAGCACCGCCAACTCGGCGAAAACTTGGCCGCCGCGAACGTGACATTATTGGCTTTCCAGTGGCTTTGTTACCCTTAATCTCAGCGCCCGCCTCCGGCGATTGGGCTTATCTCGGGGCAGTGCGCCGCTGTGCAGCCGACTACCTAACAATGTTTATTTATCCAGTCATCGGTAATCCACTCGCAAACACTGCCGCCCGGCTTAATTGAAAGCGTGGAAGATAGAGTGGGCGGTCGTGTCCCGTCGCCACATCCGCACCAATTCGCGCGCGGCCGCCAAGCCGGGGCCCTTGTCGCCCGCGCGGGCCAGGTATCGGCACGCCTCCGGCGCGTCCCACAAAGCGGCGTCTGGCCGGCCCCGCTCCTCCAGCGGGCCGCGACGGCCGCGGGGCGGTGCCGCGACGCCTCCCGGCGCGGCGCGCCAAACGCTTTGTGCGACGAGCCGAAATCATTTCCAGAAATCGTATGGTTTCTATCTTTTCAGCGCTGTGCGCGCCGAGAGCCGTGAAAGGTGGCACTAATGATGACGTCTCCGGGGCCCTTCGGCTCCCGGCGCGCACAAAAAGGGGGCAGAGGGGGCAGAGGGGAGCGGCAGCGTGTCCCACGGCGATGAAAGGGATCTTTCAGAACTGGCGATCTTCCGTAATTGAGGGAAATCTTTTCACCGGGCTTCCTCAGACAGGCCGTAAATCGCTTGTAACAGTTTTCCTGAAAACGTGACAATGTGACTCGTAATGAGTTCCTGTGGCGAGCCGCATGGTTTACATATTTCGCCCATTATTGGCAGACGCCGAAGGGGCCGTGAGTTTTATGAAGTACTAAAATTGTCACCTGGGCACAATCAAAGGAAGAGCACGGTTTCGTTAGCGACCAGCGCAGTCTGCACAATGGAAGGACGGTGTGGTCCGCTGCCTTTGTGAAACGAAATGTTCTGGCCGTTTCCGTCACCTTTTCACATCTGCCCCGCATTTCGTAGCATGCGCCATCCCGTTGACAGCATAGCGAAACCAGTGTTGCAGTGGCAATATCAGCATGCGACTAATCAATTGAGTCAAATAAAGCATGGCCGACATTAACGCACCTCGCTTTCTCTCTGTCAAAACGTTGCGCGTCTGACACAGGCTGATAAACCTTGAATGCGACTGCGGGATAGAGACACTTAATACCGCAGGCTCGGTGGTATTACACTGAATGACGCAGAAAGGTCTGTGGCTGATTATCGCAACAAATGCGCTGCCTGCTTGCCCGCCTACCGTAACCTTGGATACGCTGCCTGCCTGCCTGCCTACCGCAACCCTGGATACACTGCCTGCCTGTCTGCCTACCGCAACCCTGGATACGCTGCATGTCTGCCTGCCTACCGCAACCCTGGATACGCTGCATGTCTGCCTGCTTGCCGCAGCCCTGGATACGCTGCCTGTCTGCCTGCCTGCCGCAACTCTGGATGCGCTGCCTGTTCACGCCGGTGACGCGACCTGGCTGACTAATGAGCTTACATAATACATAAGAGTCCGAAGAGATAACAATACGCGACCAATGTTCGAAATAACGTACATTATAGTATGCCCTTCTACGTCCCCCAGAACTTTTAACTACACCATTGGTGGCGAATCTCATTGGCAGCCGCGAGTCAAAGCAGCCGTCTTCAAAGCAGGTCCCGGGGGTGCCAAACCAACATCCCGACCACCCCTGGTGTCCCCCGCCCACTCCGGCAGCCAGTTGCGTGACCCGGGTGACCGCGGCGGCGACAGACGACACCGCCGTCCGGCCGGCCGTCAGCCACAGTTCCGGCGCACCTTTGTGCGCGCCCCCGCGGTGGCCAATCGCCAATGGACCGCCGCCCGTTTTATGAGCGCCACCCGCCGCGGAAGACCACCGTCAAAGCGTGCCGCCGCGGCCGGGGCAGGGCAGGGTGGAGTGGGGTGGGGGCGGGGGTCAGCCCGTCCGCCGGCGATGGCCAGTATTGATGAGCGGCCAGAACATACGACCGGCCCCGCGGTGACACCGCGCGCGCCGCCCGACTATTTGGGGCTCGCCCGACCTCTGCGAGCCCGCGTGCCACAACGCGCCCCTTTGAGGTGTGAGTAATGGAGGCGCCGCGGATGATTTAGCGGCCTGCAACGACGCGCTCCGCTCAGCGCCGGCGTCATTAGGCCCTGTGCTAATGAGCGGAGTCGAGAGGTGTCCAGGAGACGATCGGGAGGGACGGCAGGCGGCCCAGCCGTCAGCAGGGATGAGGTGAGCGTACTCCCGGAGCATCGCGTCCTGGGGACCGGTTTGTCGTCCCCGAGGATAGATGTTGCGGTCTCCAGGGATCTCTGGGTACCACTGGTATGGTCTCCGAGGACCGCTGGTGCGGTGTCTGGGGATTTGGACCTGTTGCAGTTCGGCGGCAGTAGACGTGACCCCAGCGGCGGCTCCAAGAGCCATGTGGACCGTAATCTCCCGCCCCCATCCTAACCCGTTGGGGCCTGCGTGGGGCGCGCGGGCAGCAAAATGTTGTGAGGTCCCGCAAATGTGATCAAGGTCTCAAAAACATGCTGACCCTCACGGAGTGGAGGTGAGGTCCAGTAGCTGGGAACCATCCAAACCCTGCTGATCTTCACGGAGTGGAGGTGCGGTCCAGTAGCTGGGAACCGTCCAAACCCCGCTGACCCCCACGGAGTGGAGGTGCGGTCCAGTAGCTGGGAACCGTCCAAACCCTGCTGATCTTCACGGAGTGGAGGTGCGGTCCAGTAGCTGGGAACCGTCCAAACCCTGCTGATCTTTACGGAGTGGAGGTGCGGTCCAGTAGCTGGGAACCGTCCGGAGCCTGCTGATCCCCACGGAGTGGAGGTGCGGTCCAGTAGCTGGGAACCGTCCAAACCCTGCTGATCTTCGCGGAGTGGAGGTGCGGTCCAGTAGCTGGGAACCGTCCGGAGCCTGCTGATCCTCACGGAACGGAGGCCCGGCAGTGGGCTGTTCGGGCCTCGGCCCATGACCCATTCACCCAAGGATGTATTAACAGTCTGACGGTTTATATACACACGAAACGAATCACAGCCATATGCAGCTGTGCCTTTATCAATTCAAATGGCCAATTTAGGTCTTCATGAAGCCCCTAAAACAGGCTGTCTCCCATACCGTGATCACCAGAATCACGCCGACTAGACTCGACTCAGCACCGATGTTGAGCTGTGCTGGGCGGAGTCAGAGTCGTAACTCCTCCGTCGGAATCGGAGCCGGCTCCAGCCAAGCGGCATCAAGCACAAGCACACCCCATCACAGCGCGTGAGTGTCAGAGAGCGCGCGAGTGTCAGACACCACGGCGGGCGCGCGCCGCCGGCGCCGGCACCGCCGGCCGGACCCGACCGTTCCCACCCCTTTCTCCCTCGCCGGCGCCAGATGCGGCGACACGCTATCTCCGCGTGATATCACTTTGAATGCGATTTTATTATCCGTGTCGACAAGGGCTCGGCGATCCATCAGGCGGCAGCTGGCGCAGATAGCTTATTAAAGTAGCTGCCGCTATCCGGCGCCCGTTCCGGCGAATCGGTCGACAGTTTGTCGCCCGTTCGCCGGCGCCGATGATCTCTGACTCGGAGGCGATATTTGATCGCGGAGGCGGCCGACGCCGTGGGTCGGGGACTAGGGGAGGGAGGAAGGGTGGAGAGAGGGGGAGAGAGGGGATGGAGAGGGTGGAGAGGGGAGAGAGAGGGTGGAGATAGAGAGGGTGGAGAGGGGAGAGAGAGGATGGAGATGGTAGGGAGAGAGGGTGGAGAGGGGAGAGAAAGAGGGTGGAGAGGAGAGAAAGAAAGGGTGGAGAGGAGAGAGAGAGGGTAGAGAGGGAAGAGAGAGTTGAGAGGGGAGAAATAGAGGGTGGAGAGGGGAGAGAGGGAAATAGAGAGAGAGAGGGTCGGTGAGTGCACCACGAGGGGTGCACGCTTGCCGTCAGATCCAGAGATGTGCTGACACGGAAGATCGAGGCGCCGAGGCGGAGCGGGTCGCGTGTCCGGAGATGCCAGCGGGCAGAGGGGCGGAGCGCGGGGCGGCGGGCACGCCGCGAGGCCGCCAGGCGCGCCATATTTATAAATTCATTTCTTTCATCTGAGATGTCACCGCCAGGCGAGCGGCGCCGGGCTAGGGAGGCTCCGCTTATTTGGCTGAGTGATTGGGCTCTGGGGAGGCTGCCGCGCCGCTCTGGCTCCGGCGCAGGGCCTGGCAGTCGGCGACCGGCAGCATGTGGCCGCGGCCGAGGGCCCAGCTGACCGCCGCAGCGCGGAGCTCGGTCAGCCGCGCTCCAACTTCGCGCTCCGGTGAAGATGAGGCTGCCTGGCTCGCGGTCCGGGGACGGCCAAAATACGAAGGCGACGATGCCCGTGGTATGAGCGGCAGTGGCCACCGGTGCTAGGCAGTGGTAGTAGTGGTAGCAGTCAGCCCTAAATGCTTCTTAATGAAAGTACGGGCCAGCAAAGCCTCTTTGCCGTAGACCGCGGGCAATGCTGTCTATAGTGCGGAGTCTTTCATTTGTCCTTCATCATGCAACGCCTGTCATCGCTTGGAAGACAAATGGGCTTAAAAGCTTGCTGTGTTAAGCTCCGCAGCAAGCCGTGGCCGAGCGCTGGACAGCGCCTGGGCCGAGGGCGCCCCAGGTGCGCTCCAGCCGACTCATCTCCCGGGCGTACTGGCCGCGGCCGAGTGATGGACAGTGCCTGGGCCGAGGGCGTCCCAGGTGCGCTCCAGCCAACTCACCTCCCAGGCGTACTGGTCGTTGACGGGCTGCACGGTCCAGTTGCCGAGGAAGGGGCCAAACCGACGGCCGGCCTCGACCCGGAGCCGGGTCCAGACGCCCTGGCCGCGGCCGACGGCGCTCTGCCGCAGCTCCAGCTCCGCCGGCATCGACGTCATGGCTAGGTGCAGCTGGTGCAGGTACTGCGCCGGCGCTCCCACCTGCCCGTCGGGTCAGGTCAGGTCAGGTCAGGTTAGGGCCAGTGCCATTGGTGGGGATACCGTGTCAGCGCTTGACTTACAAGGTCAAGCCAGGCAGGTTGAGGCAATGTCACGTCAGCTCGGTTCACTTACGCCCGATGAAATGCCAGCGCCCAGCCTGCGGGGTCAGGTCAGGTCAGCAATTTTCAGGTTAGGCCAGGTCATGTTAGGGAAGACCGCGTCAGGCGTAGCTGCAGCAGACACTGTGCTGTCGTTCCCACCTGCAGGTGGGTGGTCAGGTTTGGCAAATCCAGATCAGGTCAGGTCAGTTCAGTTGCAACTGATGCAGGCCTTTCGCCGGCGCCCCGCCCTGTCGAGCGATGACCTGTCAAGTCAGGTCAGGCCAGCCCAGCATCAGGCCAGATCAGGTCAGCTCAGGTGGAGCCTGTTGGTAGCAGCGGTGTTACCTCGGGCCAGCTGAGCTGAACTCAGCCAGGTCAGCGGCCCCATACCGCCTGCTCGGTGCTACTTCCAACATTCGCCTGCCAACGCAAGCGCAGTGCTGGATCGCCGGTGCATAGCGCGCAATGTCCGCCGAACACGTGGTGGCTTTTCGTGACTCCGGGCCACGGCGCCGGTCACGCCACGGCTTTTGCAATAATCACGAAGCTGTTCGAGACTGGTCCCACAGGGCACTGTCAGCGCGTGATTTTCAACCTCGGAGACTCGGTGTGGTGGCACTGAGTAGAAGGCGTGAAGCAGTTCATGCGAGCTCGCTCATCACCGAAAATTCACGGAGATCTCACGGAGATCTCGAGGAGACATCACGGAGTCTGAGATCAGTGCCCACCGAAACCTCACGGAGACCTCACGGAGATCTCAAGAAGACATCACAGACTCTGGGATCAGTGGCCACGGCAACAGTCTACAAGAATTTAGCCATCATCAGCATCTTGGTTGTAATTCGCCCTTGATCAAATGCACCGCATCAGACCTCGCAGAAACTGTCGTGATACTTGCGGTGAACCCTCGGACGGAGTCAGGGTAACCTCAAATTCAGGCCTGAATTCAGGAGGAGTCAATGTGCAGTTCACAGCGATGCCGCAGTTGAACTGAAGATCGACTCACGGGACCATTGGCGGCAGGGAAATCCTTGCTCTCGTCGTCATCGGCCGAGTTGTAGTTCTCGGTGGTGGCCTCGGAAAGGTCAGTCAGGTCACACGTGGAGTCGTCGCCGGTCCGGCCGTCCGCTCCTGTAACGAGGTCAAGGAGGTCACTGGCCACCCCGGGCACAGGGTCAGACCGTGCCACACTCGACGCCCGTCTTCCGAGGCCTGTTGCATGCAGGGGCAGCATTTTTTAGAAGAGCACTTTACAGGCTATTCTGAACGATCGTGGAGCCGTCAGAATGTGTGTGGTAATGGCCTATCATATTGCAAGGTCAAAGAAGGCGCGGCATCGAAGTTTTGGGAGCGTTCCGCTCCTTGTAACGTCCATTTGAATGGTTATGTAACCAACAAAGTTGCGGGAGATCGTTTCGACTTCCCTGACAGAGGCCATGACATATTTGTCACCACAGCTCTCGAAGAGACATTTGTTCAATGGCAATTTCGAACAGAACACTTGATCATCTCCAGACCTGCCGCCGCTTCGTGCTTCATTCTGCGTTTCAGTTTGCACTGTCTCGGCGTACGTGATGCCAGTGATAATAAGCGAGCCCACCATTGGCAGGCATCACGCAAATCTGAACTGGCGCGGCATGAGCCGACACCATCAGTCGGGGGCCAGGCACGCTGCCTTGTGAGGGGAGTATTCCAACTGCCGTGGATCAAATAACGTCCGGGCCAAGCGCAAACTACCCCTTTCTATTGTCTGGGTCGGCCGAGGCAACCATCAAATGACCAATAACGCCGGAATCAAACTGACAAATCGGTCTGATTCGCATGCGAGCAGCTCGATGCGACGTTCGGTTATTTGTGTGGTGCGGCCGGCATGTCCTTCGCCTGGCCCTGCTAATGCTGTGTACACGTCACCTGGCCGGCCGAACGCACCTTGTCTGGGCCCGCATCAAACATGCATGACTTCAATTGTCACACGTGTGGCCTAATGCAGCAGCCAAACGAGAGCCGTCGCCGCTCCACTGATATTACTGATAATGAAACGGCCCGGCCGCTGGGCGACGGCATATTGATGCCACGTATTGGCCGTTGTTCGCATTGCCAACCGATGAAATATTGATGCGTTTTTCGGAACGCATCGGGCTCATCATCGAAATGTGAATGCCATTATTGGAAGTATTGACTCGCTGGAGGAGAGCGTCGATTGGCGTAATAGGCTAACGCGGAGGGTTTAAACAGTAAGAACACGCCAGGCCGCCCCCGAACGGGCACGGGTCGTCGCCCGGCGTCCCCTGCCCCGTCGCCTGTGATGACACGGTGTCTGGCCTGCTTTCTGACGGGCGCGGCGCCCCTCCCGCCCCCTGACCTACCAAGTGCGCGTGCTGCCGTGTTGACACTAGCACCGCCAATCGTTACGGCTAGCCGCGCGACGCCCGGCGCTGGAGGGTCGCCGCCACTAATTGCTCGAGCCTGTAATACAGTGGTGTCACGCAGCGGGCGCGCGTGCCCGCCGCCGCCGCTCCGTGATTTGCGCGCCACTTCTGTCACGAGCGGCCATTTCCGCCGCGAATGCGCCACTTCAGGACGCGGCGGCTCCTCCTTCCTGGCCGGGCATAACGAGGCCATGTTACAAGCGAAGGTCGGCATGGTGTTGAATGCTATGTGAAATGCCAGCTATGAAACAGACGTTCCCGGTAAGAAGGAAAGCGCTCTGGGCATGACAGGTGCCTCGGTTTTGCCATGGAGCATGAGCAAAGCGCACATGTGAGTGGATCATTGGCTGTGACTAAGTGTCGTTCACGTCAATGGCCAGCATTCCCACGTAAATTCAGTGATCGTTGCCGACCTTCGGCCGTTGCTAAGGGCAAATGTCGCCGCCGCGCAATAAACGTCGTAAGTGATTTCAATCAGTCACCAGCGATTGACAAACTACGATCGACCGCGACGCGTCAATACCACACGCCGCTGAACCGCTGCCCGTCGCAGCTTCATTACCTTTCGTCAAATGGCTGCTCCCCGCGGCCGCGACGAACCGGCCGTGGGACAGCGTGCTGGGTGGGGCAGCCCCGGAGGAGCAGCGCTGGTCGACCCTCCCACGGTGACCTGACGCCGGCCGGCCGTGGGACAGCATGTTGGGTGAGACAGCCCCGGGTGAGCAGCGCTGGTCGACCCTCCCGCGGTCACCTGACGCCGGCCGGCCGTGGGACAGCATGCTGGGTGAGACAGCCCTGGGGGAGCAGCGCTGGCCCACCCTCCCGCGGTGACCTGACGCCAGTCGCATGTCACCGGGCAGAAATCGTTGACAATTGAGGACCGGGGCGGGCATTAGCTCGGCACCGGCCTGGCGCGCGGCAAATGGCTCCTGGTGGCTCGTTGCCGAGCTAATGTCGGGGGCAGATATACCCCCCCAGCCATGCACCAAAGGCATTGTCCGCCGGCCGGCGATATTAACGGCTCAGTAATTTATCCTCAGCCCGGTGGCGTAACATGATTTCAGTTTGCAAAGATGCCATGATTGAGCGTCATCAGTCAACAGGAATCCTGCGCTCCGAGAAGCCATGGTGGCGCATGTCTAAGCACGCGCGTCAGACGTCTCGCGCCACGCAGGGCCGCGGCTAAGCACGGCGCCGGGCCCGCTCCAGCCCAATGATGTATCGCCCTGCACTCAAACGGCCGGCCGCGGTGTTTCTTTCCAGCGCGTGATGGAAATTTATGAGCTGGCCTTCCAGCCGGTGTACATAATCGCGCACGCTACCAGTCCATAGGATGTGCGTGACACCGTGACTGCGGCACCGCAGTGAGCAATGCTACTTTGAGTCGCTCGAAATCACGGGTCCACCGACTGATGTGACCAGTCTTCATAGATGCTCTCTCCGTCGGCGCGTCAGGGCTGCCCTCTCCACCGGTGCCTCAGGGGTGCCTTCTTCGACAGTGTCTCGAGGCTGTCCTCTCCACCGGTGCCTCAGGGCTGTCCTCCCTGCCGGTGCCTCAGGGGTGCCCTCTCCACCGGTGCCTCAGGGCTGCCCTCTCCACCGGTGCCTCAGGGGTGCCCTCTCCACCGGTGCCTCAGGACTGCCCTCTCCACCGGTGCCTCAGGGGTGCCCTCTCCACCGGTGCCTCAGGGGTGCCCTCCCCGCCGGTACCTCAGGGCTGTCCTCCCTGCCGGTGCCTCAGGACTGCCCTCTCCACCGGTGCCTCAGGGGTGTCCTCTCCACCGGTGCCTCAGGGCTGTCCTCTCCACCGGTGCCTCAGGGGTGCCCTCCCCGCCGGTGCCTCAGGACTGTCCTCCCTGCCGGTGCCTCAGGACTGCCCTCTCCACCGGTGCCTCAGGGGTGCCCTCCCCGCCGGTGCCTCAGGGGTGCCCTCCCCGCCGGGCTGTCCTCCCTGCCGTGCCTCAGGACTGCCCTCTCCACCGGTGCCTCAGGACTGCCCTCTCCACCGGTGCCTCAGGGGTGCCCTCTCCACCGGTGCCTCAGGGGTGCCCTCTCCACCGGTGCCTCAGGGATGCCCTCTCCACCGGTGCCTCAGGACTGCCCTCTCCACCGGTGCCTCAGGGGTGCCCTCTCCACCGGTGCCTCAGGGATGCCCTCTCCACCGGTACCTCAGGGATGTCCTCCCTGCCGGTGCCTCAGGGGTGCCCTCTCCACCGGTGCCTCAGGGATGTCCTCTCCACCGGTGCCTCAGGGATGCCCTCTCCACCGGTGTCTCAGGGGTGCCTTCTTCGACAGTGTCTCGAGGTTGCCCTCCCTGCCGGTGCCGACAGGTACAGGCTCCATATCAGAGTGGCCTCATGGAGACGCGTGCGTGCGGACGCATGTCTGTGACACGTGACTGTGTCTGCACGCGGGACGAGCGGTGAGCTCAATCCAGGCTCTGGGCTCTGACCTCTGGGAGTCTGCTTCAGGAGGGGTCATTTACTGTTAAAGGGCCTCTGAACACGATAAGGGCCCTCATAAGATCGGGCACACGATCTTGGAAATTTCTGCAAGCCCTTATTCAAGGTCCCACCCGAGCAGCCGTTATTTTCTCGAATTCGAGTCACGACACTATAAGTGCGCATATCATAAAATCATTTTGTTCCGTTAGTTGCATGCCTTTGCTCCACGTTCAGGCGCTAGCAGACCGAAGACAATGCTGGGCCCAGATCAATTTTGCGGAACCTGCAATTTTCCCTTCTCACATGATGCGCGTGGGTCCCCAGGGGAGAAGGTGGCAGCCGTGGCCTCGCCTGGATCCGTCCTTGATGCGATCCACAGGCGTCGTGCCCACCGCGTTAAACCCGCTGCGTGATGCTGAATCGGAGGGGCAAGTGCCCACGCCGGAGGGTGTCCGGAGGGTACGGCCAGAGGCGTCCGGAGGGTACGGCCGGAGAGTACGGCGGGAGGGTACGGCCGGAGGGTACGGCCGGAGGGTACGGCCGGAGAGTACGGCCGGAGGCGTCCGGAGGGTACGGCCGGAGGGTACGGCCGGAGGCGTCCGGAGGGTACGGCCGGAGAGTACGGCCGGAGGGTACGGCCGGAGAGTACGGCCGGAGGCGTCCAGAGGGTACGGCCGGAGGGTACGGCCGGAGGCGTCCGGAGGGTACGGCCGGAGAGTACGGCGGGAGGGTACGGCCGGAGGGTACGGCCGGAGGCGTCCAGAGGGTACGGCCGGAGGCGTCCAGCGCGGTGCTCAGCTCAGCTCAGCGCGGTTTTCTTCCATCAGAGGGGGAAATCCGATCGGCCATGGCTTCGCGACTATCGGGTCGAAAGAAAGATGTGACGCGAATGGAAGAGCGGAACAGTACTCATACCTTTACAGTACCTTACCTTTCCTTACAGGGCTTGTTCCTTTTGTACATGTCCCATTGGTTGACTCATGATCGAGCAATCAATCGGAAGATACCAAGCATGACGAGACAGCGCAGAGCACGCTGAACAAAGCGATATTGAAACCTAGTTTACGGAACTAGAACCGGCCAGTAGTTTCAGGTCACCGACCATCCGCTCTCATCCGTCTGAGCATCCGGAGCCTAGCAGCAGCTTCAGTTCACCAACCAGCGCAGGCCGCTCTCCAGTCTGAGCGTGTCAGCGCGTGACGCCGATTCTGCGTGAGCGACGCGCCGTTCGAACGAGTGGCCGCGTCAGACCAGGTGT